TTTTATAAGCAACAGAATTTAAAACCCATGGATCATGTAGATCTTCTTTCCCACACACCTGTGCCACTCCTGCCACCTCCATCATTTGCTTATCAATCTCTGAAGAAAATAATAGGTAACGTAGGCTGTGTTTCAGTGTACTGCTGTTAGCAATCAGGGAAACTTCTCCAGAAGCATAGAGACAGGCAGCAGAGCTTACATACCTCTCAGGCGGTGTCCTCACTCCTGGTCTCACCCTGCTGACTTAAGCACCGCCAACTAGCTGGATCTTCAGTGACCTGTTCACTCTGATGCTGTAGAAAACCCTCAGAGTCCTCTGTCAGGTCAGCTGTAGCAACTGCTTATTTACTTCATCATTTTAACCAAGTACCTATTCATTCATTTATTTTTCAGTAAAATTTGAAGGTTTGAAATGGAGCCAAGTGTATATATATATATATATATACACACACACACACACACAAAGTAGATGTATAGTATATATAAATAAAATATAGTATATATTAAATATGGTATACATATAAAATAGTGTGTAAAACATAGTATATATACTATATATACACTATATATACATGCACATATACATACACATAAATTATATATATAAATGTAAAACACTGTGAATTCACTCTGGTTTATTCCACATCTTAGTGAAAAATGCTAAAATATGACTATTTAAGTTGTGATATATTTGTATGTCAACCAAGTAACTGAGATAAAAGAAAATATATAAAAACCATTTCACAGACCTTTTTCAGTTAAAAAAGCATGCTTTGAAAGATTATCTTATTAAGCCCAAATTTCTTCTAAATATTTATATTATTAAAAATAGAGGCTAATTATAAGTGAAGAAAAACGTAAGGCACTTAGACCAGAATTCTTAGATTGCTGGAACTAAAAATAACATAACTACCACTTATGGAACATCCAGAGGTTCAATAACTTGCCTGAGGTCCTTAGCAATGAAATACATTGCCTCTTTTCTAAGTTCAAAGAGACAAAATTATAAACTAGTTCTGGTTTAACTTATTCCATTCTCTATTAAATGCTTTGTGGAATATAAGACCTTGGTGTATTGACAGAGAAGTATTTGCAATGCTTGATACATCATCATTTACACAGAAATCAGTAGAATGTTACACTTTTCCTCGCTGTGTAAGTTGAAATATCTTTTTTTCTTGAATTATTACAATTGATTTTTTAGTAAAAGAGAGAGGATATTTAGAAACCCAAACAATTACACATTTATTGGTATTTTATTCCTAATGAAATTAATACTCTGATATTTAAAAATTCAATGATATGAGCTGGAATTTTTTTTTTAAATAATAAATTTTATTTTTATATTCCCCCATACAATTGCAAACGCCCCATTCTGACCCCAATCCTTCCCCTCCCGCCCCCCACCCCCCAAACACTGTCTCTGGTTCATAGTTTTCTGTTGATTTTGATTTTCACTTTCTTATATTCATTTTCCTGGTCCCTTATTTAAGTTCTCTAGATTCCTGCTATGAGTGAGACCATCCGGTATTTTTCTTTTTCTTTTTGGCTTATTTCGCTGAGCATGATCCCTCCAGCGCCATCCATGTTGCTGCAAACTGCATGTGTTTATCTTTTTTGAATGCTGAGTAATATTCCATGGTATATATGTACCACATCTTCTTGATCCAGTCATCTATTTTTGGGCATTTGGGTTGTTTCCAAAGCTTAGCTATTGTAAACAGTGCTGCTATAAACATAGGGGTGCAGGTGCTCTTTGGAATTGATGTTTCTGTGTCCTTTGGGTAAATACCTAGGAGTGGAATTGCTGGATCATATGGAAGCTCTATGTTTAGTAGGTCCAGAAATCTCCACACAGCTCTCCATAGTGGTTGGACCAGTTTGCACTCCCACCAACAGTGCAGAAGAGTTCCTTTTTCTCCACACCCTCGCCAGCATTTGTTGTTGCTAGTTTTTTTAATATGTGCCATTCTCACTGGTGTAAGATGGTATCTCATGGTAGTTTTGATTTGCATTTCCCTGATTACAAGTGATGTTGAACATTTTTTCATATGTCTGTTGGCCATTTGCATTTCCTCTTCAGAGAAGTTTCTTTTTAGCTCTTCTGCCCATTTTTTGACTGGATTATTTTCTTTGTTGTTGCTGAGTCTCATCAGCTCTTTGCAGATTTTTGTGATCAGTCCTTTATCATTAGTGTTGGGTGCAAAAATGTTCTCCCAGTTGGTGGGGTTTCTCTTTGTTTTTGTTATTGTCTCTTTAGCTGTGCAGAAGCTCTTTAATTTGATGTAGTCCCAGCTGTTTATCTTTCTCTTCACTATCACTGCTTTGGGTGATGTATCTGTAAAGATGTCTTTGATGTGCAAATCCCATAGTGTTTTCACCTATATTTCCTTCTATGTATTTTATGGTTTCAGGTCTTATGTCTAGTTCTTTAATCCATTTTGAGTTGATTTTTGTGTATGGTGTGAGGTAGTGGTCAAGCTTCATTCTTTTGCATGTAGCGACCCAGTTTTCCCAGCACCATTTATTGAACAAACTTTCTTTGCTCCAATGCATAGTCTTTGCTCCTTTGTCAAAGATTAGTTGACCATAAATCTGTGGGTTTATTTCTGGATTTTCTATTCGATTCCATTGGTCTGTATGTCTGTTCTTGTGCCAATACCATGCAGTTTTGATGATTATGGCTTTGTAGTATAGTTTGAAGTCTGGGAGTGTGATGCCTCCATTTCCTTCTTTTTTTTTCAGTAGAGCTTTGGCTATTTGGGGTTTTGGTGATTCCATATGAATTTCATCAATAATTGTTCTATTTCTTTGAAGAATGCCATTGAGATTTTGATTGGAATAGCATTGAATCTGTATATTGCTTTTGGTAGGATGGCCATTTTAATAATGTTTATTCTTCCAATCCATGAGCAGGGGATGTCTTTCCATTTCTTTGTGTCTTCTTCTATTTCTTTTAACAGTGTTTTATAGTTTTCTTTGTATAGGTCCTTTACCTCTTTTGTTAGATTTATTCCCAAATATTTGATTTTTTTTGTTTCAATAATAAAAGGGATGGTTTTTTTGATTTCTTCTTCTTCAGATTTATTGTTTGTGTATAGGAAGGCTACTGACTTTTGCGTGTTGATTTTGTATCCTGCCACTTTACTGAATTGATTGATGAGTTGAATTAGTTTTTCTGTGGAGATTTTGGGGTTCTCTATGTATATTATCATATCATCTGCAAATAGTGATAGTTTGACTTCTTCTTTTCCTATTTGGATTCCTTGGATGTCTTTCTCTTGTCTTATTGCTCTGGCTAGGACTTCCAGTATTATATTGAAAAGCAGTGGTGAGAGTGGACATCCTTGTCTTGTTCCAGATCTTAATGGAATTGCTTTCAGCTTTTCACCATTGAGAATGATACTGGCTGTTGGCTTGTTATAGATGGCCTTTATGATGTTGAGGTATGTTCCTTGTATCCCAAGGATTTCTAGGGCTTTTATCATGAATGGGTGTTGCACTTTGTCGAAAGCTTTCTCAGCATCTATTGATATTATCGTATGGTTTTTATATTTCTTTTTGTTGATGTGTTGGATAACGTTGATTGATTTTCGGATGTTAAACCATCCTTGTGCCCCTGGAATGAATCCAACTTGGTCATGGTGAATTATCTTATGGATACATTGTTGGATTCTGATAGCTAAAATTTTATTGAGGATTTTTGCATCAGTGTTCATTAGGGAGATTGGCTTATAGTTTTCCTTTTTTGTGTTGTCCTTATTCGGTTTTGGTATTAGTGTAATATTGGCTTCATAGAACGTGTTTGGTATTGTCCCTTCCTTCTCAATTTTTTGGAAGAGTTTGTGAAGGATAGGCACTAATTCGTCTCTGAATGTTTGGCAGAATTCATTTGTAAATCCATCAGGTCCTGGGCTTTTGTTTTTGGGGAGGTTTTTGATTACCATTTCAATTTCGCTGCTTGTAATTGGTCTGTTTAGGTGTTCTATTTCTTCTTTATCTAGCTTTGGGTGATTGTAGAGTTGTAGGAATTTGTCCATCTCCTCTAGATTGTTGAACTTGTTTCCATATAACTGTTCATAGTAGTTACTGATTATTCTTTTGATTTCTGCTGTGTCCGTTGTGATTTCTCCTCTTTCATTTATGATCCTGTGTATTTGTGCTTTCTCCCTTTTTTCCTTTGTGAGCCTGGCTAGGGGTTTGTCTATTTTATTTATTTTTTCAAAGAACCAATGAGCTGGAATTTTTTAAAAAACATTTCCCAAGAAAGTTTTGACCCTGTCAATAGTTTGCAAACTGTATTAGATACACTAATTGGATTCCTAGATGGGTGCTCCTAGAGGTGCTAAAATGCACTTTATTCTCAAGGACAGGTTATAAATGTTAGAATCAAAATCCTATAGACCTCTTCCTCTTCCCCATGTCCATTGGTGAAGGAGCCAAATAGATCAGACCTCCATCCTAAAAGCTTCACAGGCTAACTTCTTCCATCTTTCTGTTCTAACACCCTCTGACCTCTGGGTCAGAGGTCACATTAGTCCCACTTACTGATATATTTTGTTGGATTTCTTATGATTGCATTAGGCACTGTATCTGCTAATCCTTTTAGAATGATCCTAAACTTTGGTACTTCCAAAAGTAACTCATTTGGTGCTTGATCTGAACTGAAAAATGAAGACCCATCTTCTTGAGTGGCCCTTCACGTGGCTCCTTGTCCAGTTCTAAGGGATTTATAAATATCAACAAGCATTTAATGCCAGATTCCCCACTATATTAATCTCCGTCTTCTTTTTCTAGGGTAGTCTTTTCTGCTGAATTCCATCTCCATCCTGCCTGCACTCTCTCTCTCAAAAGGTGTTAGTGACACCTTTTGACCCTAGTGACTGAGTCATGGAAAGCCCCAGCACACTGTCACTACATTAGGTGTGGATAAACGACCTTATAAACAGTCCTTTATGACTCTCACATTCAACATGATTGCTTTGTCTGTTTCTTTTTAGATCATCTCAACTTTGTCTCTTGGAACTACCCACTAGTTACAGTCAGAGGGTAAGTATATACTTACATTTTCTTTTAATGAGCTATAAGTGGAAATCTCAGTTTTGTTGAATAATTTTCCTAAGATAAGTTTCATTCAAATATTTTACCAGTGAATTGTAGCACAGTGAATGGGAATATGTAGGAAAAGATATATTTTTTTAGTTTATTTTTAGATAAAATACTTTTTTTTCTTATATTGTTGTTAATTTTTGAATAGTATTTGATTTCTCCCCTCAGGTGTAGTCCCTGTAGTTCTCCCACCACCTTAGCAGCTGTGATTCATCACCACAGTCCCTTGTGCTCTTCCCTCCTATGTTTTTTTTTTTTTAAAGATTTATTTATTTATTTATACAAGCACTGGGTACAGTCAGAAGCACAGGAAGGTGAGAGAATTCACCAGAGCAAGAGTGGGGAGCAGAACGGGCAGAAGGACCGAAGTACACTGCTGAGGGGAGCAGCGGGCACGGCAGGAGAGGTCTGTGTGCCATGTGGGTCCCTCGCCAGTGGCCAGGGATCAAACTGGTGCTGCAGAGGCTGCAGGCAGCTTTGCAGCCCAGTGCTCAACCGCTGCGCCACCAGGGAGGCCTCCCTCCTATGTTTTGACCCCTCCTTCCACTCCCCTCCTGGATGTCTAGGGCCTATGGTCAACTTGCAAGATTTGTCTTCTTCCTGACCCTTTGTTTGATTTCTATATATTCTGCATATAAGTGAAGCCATCTGATATTTATCTTTCTCCTTCTGACTTGTTTCACTGAGCATAATCCCTGCCAGCTCCATCCATGTTGCCGCAAATGGCATGAGTTTACCATTTTTGATCACTGAGAGCTATTCCATTGTGTATATACACCACATCTTCTGATCTCTTCATTTATTTTAGGGCATTTAGTTTGTTCCCATATCTTGGCTATTGTAAATAGTGCTACAGTAAACATAGGTTGTAGGATTCCTTTCAAATCAGTGTTTTTGTGTCCAGTGGGTAGTTTTCTAGGAATGGAATCACTAGGTCATATGGCAGATCCCTTTCTAGTGTCCTGAGGAAACTCCACGCAGCTTCCCATAGTGACTGGAATAGTTTACATTCCCAGCAGCAGTGTAAAAGGCTTCCTTTTTCTCCACATCCTCTCCAGCATTTGTTGTTTCTGTTTTTTTGTTCTTTTTTTTTTTTTTTTTAAGATAGGCCATTCTCACTGAAAACCAGAAAATTTGTTTCTTCATTTCAAGCCAAGGTAAATAAATAGGCTTTATCCCTTCTCTTCCAACACCCATACATACACATACATACATACATAAAAGTATGTTTAAAAATACTCCTCACTCAAATGAGAATTAAGATTATTTGAAGATGAAGAAGTCAGAGGAAAAATATTTGGGAATAACTCAGGAAAAATATTTGGGAATATCACCATTTTCCTAACTAGTGCTTTTCTTCTTAGCAGTGAAAAAAATTGCACAAAAATATGTTTCCTCTAGAATACTTAAATAAGGGACCAGGAAAATGAATAACTATAAGAAAGTGAAAATCAAAATCAACAAAAACTATGAACCAGAGACACTTTTTGGGGGGTGGGGGGTGGGAGGGGAGGGATTGGGGTCAGAATGGGGGGATTGCAATTGTATGGGGAATATAAAAATAAAATTTATTAATTAAAAAAAATAAATAAATAAATAATGATTTAAAAAAATATGTTTCCAACTCAATGGAAACAATGTTTATACATTTTACAAATTCTTTTTATAAAAGTGTAATGATCTCATTTTCAACTTTTCATGACTTAGTTTTGTTAGTTTCTGAGACTGTTTAGTTTTTTAGTACTTCTATGTTAAAATTATGTCTACTAATGCATGTTAATAGGAAGATATTGTCTAGGTTATACATTTTACACTTTACTGATGCCTATAAATTTGTACATTTTAAATGAATTAAATTTTCATTTTCACTGATTTCTTTTTTAGGGTTCTGAATCCTTATAAAATAATAAAATACAGATATTGATATTATAATTTTGTACTCGTATAACTGCATTTAACTTTTTATCTGTATCACCACTAGATTTTCAGGAATTCAAAAATGTATATTTTTTGATTGCTCCTTATAACACCAAAACCCAGAAACCCTAATATTTAGGCATTGGAACTTCATTTGCCATGCTGCCTGCATCTGGAAATATAATACAACATCCTTTGTTAGTCGCTGTTTCCAGTTGTGTGTTTGGACAATGAGATGGCTGTAACTGTGTGACTCCATGGAGGTTACTACAAAACTATTAGCAATTGGGGCCTCCCCGGTGGCGCAGCGGTTGAGCGCTGGGTTGCGAAGCTGCCCGCGGCCTCTGCGGCGCCGGTTCGATCCCCGGCTGCTTCCCGGCCACCGGAGGAGGGTCCCGCATGGCGCGCAGACCTCTCCTGCCGCCCGCTGCTCCCCTCAGCGGTGTACTTCAGTCCTTCTGCCTGCTCTGCTCCCCGCTCTGGCTCTGGTGAATTCTCTCACCTCCGCTTCTGACTGTACCCAGTGCATGTATAAACAAACAAACAAACAAACAAGCAAACAAATAAATAAATAAGCATGCCTCTATAAAAAAAAAAATTTTTTAAAACAAAACTATTAGCAATTGGGCCAGAAACCTTTGCTGTGTATGTCACAAATATGCGGCCACTTGGAAGAATACATGAAACCTATGGAAACAGCTCATTAGCAGTCATGTTCAAATGAAAAGGAAGTACATATTGTAATAATCCAATCAAGAAGCTTGAAGGAAGAGAACTTCTTCTGGATCTTCCACCCTCACCCTTCACCTCTTCTTAAAACTCTTCCTATTATTTTTCTTTTGTGTTTTTTTCTGCTCGCTCATCATAAAACCTTAGGCTATAAGTTGTTAGTTTCTCTTCTAAAAAGGGGCATAAAGGGTTATTCAGAATAGTGAGAACATAATCATCTATAGCTATTGATAAAATAACTCATTTAGCAAATAAAGGTCAAAGCTTGCTTCCTTCCTTTCCTTCTTCCTTGGGGTTGTTTTCATGGTAGAAATTAAATAAAGAGATCTTTCTTTAAAAATACACAATAAATTAGAATAAATAGAGGTAACCTTTCCTGCTTGTGAAGGAAGTATTAAGTGAAAGCTCAGAAGAAGAGCATTTGTCTTTGGATGGAAGGTCATGGAATAAAATGAGTCTTTATCTGAGCTGCAGGCAGGGGAAAGTCTTGGAATTTGCCCAGGTTCTTGGCCCATGGAGCTCATCAGATCTCTTTCGCATGGTTTTAGTGTTGGGGTTGAGGCTTACTTGTCTCATGGTTTCATCAATATATTTGCCATGTGTCTTATTGAAATTCTTCAGTTACTCTATTACTGGGGCAATTCTTAGACATTTTAATCAGAAGAACTGGGTTTAGTTTGCATGAGTATGTTTTCTGTATAGTTTCTCTGCACACTACTGTGCTCAGCCATTGTTTCTAGACCATCAGCCTAAGGTCATTTTGCCTCATCATGATTAAATCCAAGGTGGACTTCCTTGTTTGTGAATGCTGTGGTAGCAATTGGTTGTTATCTGGGGCTTCTTTTGGCTTAAGACAGGCATTTGCCAACTCATTCATTACAGTTCTTTATTCAGGACCATGCTTGGAACCTGTTACCGCAGCAAAGCTGAGATCACCTCCTCCCACACGGAGCTCTACTTTACCCCAGTTTCCTGTTACCTATGCATATGTGCTTGGTCACTTCAATCTTGTCTTATTACTCATTGTTTGCTATTGTTATTTTTTTCTTTCCAAAGTTACTATAAGCTCTTTAAGGGCAAAGATTCTGTGATATTATTTTTTCCACTCACTTTTGCTGAGTCTTCAGAACTTGATGTCCATCTGCTGCACCCCTGCCCTCATGTCCCCATCTCTTATACCTGATCAAAACAGTGATGTTCCTACCTTCATTCACCCTGTACTGGGGACCTCAATGGTAGGGTCAACCAAACAAAATACCCACCCCTGTTTTTAGAACCTTTCCATCCTCCTGCCTATTCCTGGAGTTCCTAGGCTCCATTCAGGACACCTGAGATTCATTTTCTGAGGACATCACTGAGGTCTCAGCTGACTTTGACCCCTCCTAGAGCAATCACATTCTCATAAAATACCAGAAAGACATCAAAGCCCAAAAGCAATGGTGAAATTCTAAGCACTATGATAGGTAAAGGTAGAATCACTTTTAAACACATCCTTGTCTAGCTGTCCCTTGAATCACACCACATAGGCAGATGCCTACTCTGCTTGCTTACAGGCCACCCTGGCTGGGGGCTACCAGAAAGATGGAGATGTTGGTCCCTGTCATCATGGTGAGAATCACCTAGCAGGGGAGCTGAGCTATGCATGCCTGCAGAGGCAGAATAACACACATTTTAAGAGCCTTCCTAATCATGCAGTCCGACATTCTTCTTTCAGTTTTTCTATTTATTAGCTGTGTTGACTTCAAATAAAAGCAATCACATATTCCAACAACAATCAGGGTTTATTTGGAAATGAAACAACAGAAGAGGGAGTAGATTGAGGAGTGCCTTCATGGTAGAACTACATGCATTTCCATGAATCCAAGACTAACGAACCCCCCTGGAGGACCTCCCTGCCAATTCCCCAGGAGGTAGCAACGGCATCATTAAAAAAGAGAGATGCAGGTCATGTTGGGTCCTGGAGTTTGCAGGTTTACACATTTGTGTGCATTCTTTCTAGCCTCTCAAACTCATTCAAATAGACTTCTGAATATTAATATTCACAGTTGTGTGACTTTGGGTAAATTTCTAATGTTTTCTGTGGTTCATTTTCTTTATGTGTGACAGTGGGATAACTCAGCCCATGCTAAAAATTTTCTGAAAGTGTAGAACATTCTTGGCACGTAGTAGATGTGCATGGCTTGGGTGCCCATCAAAAATAAGAACTAGACCCAGGGAGGATTATAAAGCCAAGTGAGGCAGTTTGGAGGTCTGAGGCTCTGAACAGGTACTGATAGCAAGGTACTGATAGAGAT